TGGAAGAAAGTGGAGGGCCTTTCCCCAGTAAAGAGCTGAGTTTTAGTTTTGATACAACAGAGCGCTCAGATAAAAACACAAATTAAAGACAACTAGCATGAAAGGACTGAGATGCTGAAATGAGGCAGAGATGAAGATTATCCTACAGGCTAATTTCAAGCAACTCTGAGCAGTCAGAGCATTTTTACAGCATCTCTCCTGCTGTGACTCATGTTTACCAAGGCCAAGAGCGATGGCCGCTGGGGTCATGCAGCTGCCAGCCGAGCACGACTACCTCCGGCCACCCCCCGGGTGCCAGCCGAAGGACGGGGCCGCGCACACGGCGTGGGAGGTGGCTGTCGCAGACCGGCCAGCACAGCCTTAACTCCGCCAGTCCCGGCAACGTGTTGACATGAAAACAGGGAGACAAGGCGGGTAAACACGCCTGTTCCAGCTGGCCTGCCTTCATCTGCGGCTCGGCGTGCCCTCTCTCTGGGGGACCCCCCAGCTGCCTGTGTCCTGCTGCGTCGTGGAAATACTCGCAGCTGGAGGGGAGCAGAGCGCTTTCGGAGGTGGGGGGTGGCCAGCAGGGAGGACAAGCGGGTTCACCCCACAGAAATGCCGGGCAGGGCTAAGCCTACGTGGGTTTTGCTCTCTTGCTTTTCTTAAACAAAGCGAAACCAGAAAAATCTCATAGTTTTGCACAGCAGCACCTGTTGTGCTCACTGCTGTTCCTGTGGGAAGCCTATTACGCCTGTCCCTGCAGCACTGTAGAGAGAAAAAAAGAGAAAATTTTTAGATACTATCCCTCCTACTAGGACTGCTGCCCAAGGCACCTTCCTCCTGGCCTCCCAGGAGATGGCTGCAGATCCCAAACAGGCCCCAGACAGCTTTATTCTCACATGAGCACCCAAAGCCATGAATGACCACCGCTGAAGAGCACCGGCAACCTGCTCCCTGCTGAGCCCACCTCTCCCAGTGCCTTCCTGCCCAATTTAATGCCTGAAGTTTTCTTCAACAAGGACGCCATGGTGGGTCAAAGATAGGAGCAAGCAGAGCCAACAGCCTGGGAACAGCAGCAACATGCAGCGCTCGTCAGACCAGGACACCACCACCAGCACTTCAACAGTGTGGCTTTTCCAGCCGGGATTGTAGAAAATATCTTGCCCTCCAGCCGATATCATTTTGCCAGCAACTCTCCTGGTCTTCAGATAGAGCTGTGCTGGTGGGAGGGAGCAGCTCTTGGCTTTGCCTGTGTCATGGAGGAGGAAGCGTAAGTACAGGAGGAGAAAAAAAAGCTCTTTCAGCACCACGTTGCACACGGGTGACGGAGGCAGTGGCACAGCTCTGCTCATGCGGCAAGAATGGCAGCAGCTTCTCCTGTGCAGGGAGGCCCCAAGCTTGAACTGATCCCAACCCGTAACCCAACACAGGTCCTTCAGGAAAGGGCATTGTTACTGTGTAATAGCTGTCGGTAACCTACACAAAGCAACCGGTTTCATCCCATTTCTCAGTGGAAACATGCCCATAGCCTGTGCTAACCCAATGGCTACTGTATCAGTGTGACCAAAGACTGTTTTTTTTCAGGCTTCCACGCAGCCCTTCCAAAAAATCATCACTGCTGGGCAGTTTGGGGGGAGGGGGGGTGTCAAGCTAACAAACATGTAAAATCAAAGCCAAACAGGGAGACAAACTCTCTACCCTGATCCTATGCTCTTTTCCAAATCTATTAGACCATCTTCGCAGGACTAAAAGGAGACTCAGAAGACAGAAGCTGCCTGGGACCCCGCGGGGAAGGGCTGGCTCCAGAGGCCTTTCCTCCCTCCAGCTGCAACAGATCCTGGGGGAGAAACCTTCAGGCTTGACCTTCAGGGGCCCTCCGCCTGCCTCGGCGCTGGTATCCACCTCCTGCCGGAGCTGCTTTGGTCTGAGCCCTTGTCTTTCCTCACCCCGTTGTGGCAGGAAAGTTCAAGGTGTCCTGGCAGCAGGAAGCTCCTTTGCTCCACCCTCTGCCCTGCACACCGGCTCGCTGAGATTATCGAGGATTTGCTGAACCAGAGCTACCGGCAACGGCGACCTGATCTGTGCGGCTGCTCGGGTGGGAGCTGGACCCCCGGCATGAAGCAGTTCTCCGGCGAGCCCTGGGCAGCCTTTGCTGTGCTCTTCTTCGCCACCGCGCTCTGGTATTCCTGCTCAGCAGGTATTTCTCTTCTCTTATGCTCCAGTTCCTATAACCTGCTTTTTCCCCCACTCCTCTCAATATCTAAATGTATTGCCCACTGACAGTAATTTGTTCTTTGAAAACAAGGTGGGCTCCCTTGTCTCATCTAAAAAGTGTAAAGAGCTGGAATTGATTAACGCTAATGAGAATTACTTGACATGATTGATCACAGCATCCTTCTGAAGAGATGTGCTTTTTGCCAGCTATTTACAGATCCACTGTAAATGGGACTGAGCTGCAGGTTGCTCCACTGAATGGCAAGGAGCTAGGGGACCACAGTTACTTTGCCTTCATGTAGTTGCTGAGGCAAGGGACAATTTGAAATACCACCCAAGAGGGTCACTGTAGTCCGGATTAGCTTGTTAGGTGTTTTTTTCAGGAAATTCGCCTTTGGTGCCCCCTTAATTGGAGAAGTTGCCTAAAAACAAAATGTAAATGAGACCTGTGAGCTGCTCGTTTCCCATCAGGCTATTGCTTGCATTTGTATATCAGCACCAATTGAGACCTGTCAGATGTTTAAAGATGGGTTAGCTTTGACAGCCTGTCCTTTGGGCTGCAAAGTCTGTAAACATGAACCAACACTTGGCATTCTGCAGTACTTTCTTCCACAGGTCATACATAGTTTTTAATGCTTCTTCCCAGTGCTCCCGTGAGGTACTTATTAACCTAGAAAACAAATTATGGGCTTGGCCAAGGTCATTCAGCAAGTCCTAGCAGAGTCAGAAAGAGGAACGGGGAGTACTCAGACCCCTCCCTGGAGCCAGCTGCCCGGGGACCCGCTCCTAGCATGGCAGCGGCCTTAAGGAAAGCTCTGGTCTTGCTGATGGTCAGTCAGCTCAAAATGCAAAGCTGGACAATAGCAGGTGACCCCAAGGGGAACATCTCCTGCAGGACACCTCAGTTTACTTGCTGTTACTTGGAAAATACCAAACTCAAAGAAAAGGTTTGGTCAAAGGTCTTGTTCTGGTATGTTTCTTTGAGCTGAAACTAAAGCTGAGCCATTATTTTGAAGTCTTCAGTGAAATCAAACTGGAACTGATTTTCTCTTTCTGTGACACTCCAAATTATCAGCTCAGAGTGGTGGTTTGACTGGAAATAGCTCTCTCACAGCCTCTGCTTGGTCTGTAGACCAACAGCACGTTGGAGCCCCTCCATCTACATGCGGCAGGAGTCCTTACTCCTGTAGTCTCTCCAGGCTGTGTTTTTCATGTATCTCTGCAGGGGACCATATCAGCCTGGGATACTTCACCTGGCTGACTCAAACTGTACTGCTCGTAGTGACACAGGAGGAGATATTTCTTTGACTCCCTTCCTTCTGCAGCAGGGGACGGGCTGGTGTTAATGCACAGGGACCACAGCAGCCTGTGCTTCTCCCACACAGAAGTCCTGCAGCTGTCCTTGCATCTGATCCTGCAGTGCTGCGAGGTGCATGTTGAAGCTGAGGGGCAAGGGGGGTGTTAGGAGGTCTAAGGAGGCTTTGGTCTGTGACACCATATGCAGATTTGGAGGGCTGGAGACCAGCCGCAACACTGTGCTGGAGTGCAAATGTGCTCCGATTCTGGGTAGGAAGCAGGACAAAGAGTCAAAACCTTCTTCATTGAAGCCCCTGGCCCCTTCCTCCCTCACTTATTTCTGTATGTTGTATTTTCCAACCTGAGCTGGCTAATGAGCTCGTACTGGCCTGAACTGGAGCCCAGCCAGAACAGTTTCAGACACAGCTGTGCCTGAACTGCAGCAAAGCCAAAGCTTCCCGCTGAGGCTCTGCACTGACGGGCTCAGCTCTTGGCCCTGCCAGACTCCTTCATACCCCAGAGCTACTGGGATTTTTCTAAGGGCAAAAGGAGATAGATGTACTGCTCGCTGGCCATGGATCTCCCCATGCCACTGAATGCTTTCTCTCATTTCAGTCCTTGCTTGTTCTGCCCCTGTAGCTTGGGAAAGGAGAGCGGCCAGTTTGAGCTCTGAGTGAATGGCTCACACCAGGGTCATACTCAGGTAGAGGCACAGTGATCCAACTGCTCCTTATGGCTGGTCCTACAGCAGGTCTCTAAGCCTGTGTTGACAGTGGTGGGGTGTGAAAGCATAGCCTGATGCAGCAGTGTTTAGGGCAGGAACTTATTTTCTCCAAGTTTTTTCCATCCTACAGACCTCTGCAAGACCAATGGCTTTCACATTTTCATGCTTGATGCCCAGTATTGCTTTTCTAATCCAACCTGCCTTTTCTCCTGTGCTTTCCTTCTGGCAGCAGCTGAAGATTTCTCCAATGTTTCAACAAGCTCCATGCTCACAACTGAGTACGAAGCACCATGTCTTAGTAAGTCTTCATAAATCATTACTACCATGACAAAGCCAGGTGATGAGACTACATAGGTGACTGAGAGGCTGTCCTGGAAGAGGATTTATCTGTTGTTAAGGCTTCCATTGCAGGTGAAACACTAGGACACATTTCTAAGACTCCTCCATTGGCATGTCCAGTATATCTTAAGTACATTCAGATGGACTTATAGCTTTGGACAGACTAATTCATAGCTAATTCAATTTGTGTGTCCTAAAGCTCCCTGCCAGACTGACTGCCTGTAGGCACAACGTGGGCTTCCCAAAACAGCCAGTCCCAGGCAATCTGAGATCCCACCAGTCCTCCCAGAGTCATCCTCCATCCCAAATGTCAAACATCCCCACAGTCCTGCACTTCCCAAAATACAGTACGTGTACCAATAGAGGTATGCCACTTCAAAGCATGACATGGGTATAGGGGTCAGGCATCCCTCCCCTTTCTCTAGGCACATACAAAACACGTCTCTTTTGTGGTGGGAAGTGCTCCTCTCTACTGTGCAGGACAACTGTACTGTGTGCACCGAAGGCCAATGCACAGGAGCATGGTCCTGCCCGACACACGTGAATGAGAGGAACTGAGCAGCACCTGCATTTGCCTTTTCCCTGGAATGGTGCAAGAGGCTGGCTGCCCTGCACCAAGCTTAGAAGGCGTTCACTTTTCACAGCTGACAAGCTTTGTGCGCATCAACACACAATGCATGTAGCTGCAAGGTGGTTTTGGCTGCCTCAGCTCTCCTAGGTGCCGGGGATTCAACTCTCAGCTTCTATTCCAGCCCAAGGGGTCAAGATACCATGGTCCTCCAGGCTCCCTTCGATTTCTCCACGTTACCACCCAGGATGCAGAGCTGGGTATCTTCACTGTGCCCTTGTGATGGAAAAAGTATGGCAGATGCCATTAAATAATAATATAAATAATATAAATATAGTATAAATGAAACAACCAACGACATATTCCTTAACTGACTTTAGGAAATTGGACTGATTTAAACAAAAAAAGATTAAAAAGTGCACGAAAAAATACATGGAATTGTTAAAAATTATTTCATTTTTAAACACGTAAAACAGGGATCCCCAATGGTGGTGTGTTTTGCAGTTGTTACATGCAAATCAGAGTTAACAGCCCAGCAGAGCAGCCACCGCCCTCTATTGCCAGCAGAGGTATTGGGTACCTAAACTATTGGAGTTCCCGCTGAAGGTGTGTCTCTGCTAGAGATCCTCTTACTTTCTCACATGAAGGTTTCTCTACCTCAGGTTTATTTTTAATTTCAACTAGCTACTTTTATCATACTCCATTCCTAAAACTGACTGAGGAGATGCTAAGTAGGTGTTTTAAAAGATTTCCATAATGGTGGGCACAGTGGTAAGAGGAGCAGCTCAGGTGTTTGGCCAGACAGGGATGACCGAGTCTTGAAGTCATACGGATGAAACTGAGTATTGCCATCCCCCAGGTTAAGAGCCAGGCTTAGGGGAAAGATGCCAAGGCAGACTGACAGGCCACAGGGCAGACAGTGAAGTCACTGTCTCATCTGCCTTCTAGCAAAGGAAACCCTCTACGTACTTAGCCTCCCATCAGCTCACTTCATTTCTTCGCCACCAGACGTGAACTTCTGCAGGCAAGCGGCCGTGTGCTGCCCGACGGGCGTCGACGTT